GAAGCTTAGGTCAACGGCAGTGCCGCAATTGCAGTTTTTTTTTTTAAAAAAAAATTCTTGATGGAATCCTCGACAACAATGGAAGAAGGGAGAGTCCACGAAGAAGCAGAGTATGTCCATATATCCTGATACAATGGCTTTGGCGGTTCTGCTTCTAGATGATGCTGTCCTCGCCCATGACGCTAATGGAAGGAGCGGTGAGGTAGGGAGGATGGTAAGGAAGAAGACATTAAGGAATAGGGGAAGGAGGGTGAGAGCTTGCTTTATAGCTGGAGACAGAGAGAAGATGTGTCATTGATTTCCGGAACATCTGGGTCCTTTGTGACGTACTGACGATCATATTTTGTCTGGGTATTTATAAATGAAAAAAATGAAAGTAAAAGAGATTATTAAAAGTCCTTTTCAGTTTAATTTCTAATTCTAAGTACACAATTAATTCTTTTTTTCATTACTCGAAAAGTAACTATTATTTTTATTTTAATAAAATAGATTGTTTAAATAAAAATGAGTATTTTTTGAAACTACTTCTCCGATCATCAATGTAAGACCTTTATACATACTAGTATAAGAGTCTTATATTTAGGACCAGATGAGTATTTTTTAGAGGATTTAAAAGAGATAGAAAGAACATGAATAAATAAATAAAATTAGAATGTGACTTGGGCTTGTTTGGGTTAATGTTTATAAAAGTGACTGCTATTCAAATTAATTTTCGCAAACTGAAGTTGAATAAAAGTGAATAAAATTGAATATGATTTACTATATTTTGATATATATTTATAAAAAAATTCAATTTGACATGAAATTGTATGGATAAGACAAAAGTCAATTTCAAAATTTTCAAATTAAAAAAAAAAAAAAACTAAGCCAATAACTCAAACAAATGGCTTCAATTTTGAAATGAGTTTTTTGTCCAGCTGTTTAACTAGCCGGCTGCATGGGGATATATCTGATTTCAGTGTTTGGGCTTTTAACCCGTTTTATCAAAAACCAAAAAAGAGAAGCCCCGTGATACTTGGGATAAAATTAATGGGTTTATAGAGTTAAATTTAGTTGATCCTGAAGCCCACTTACATGACCTTCGGAGCGCATACGATCAATCAGTTTTTTAACTTGTTATAATAATTTTTAGTGATCAGTTTGAGATTTAACGGTGATTCTCCCACGTTTATAAGTGAAATCTAAAAGGAAATTAATTAAGGGAAATTAAAAAAAATTAAAAACTAGGTAGGCTGAACCGTTGAAATGCTATTGGAATTATTGGAGAAATTTTTAAATACTTTGAGAATACCAAATCATTTATGCTTTACCCATTAAAATCACATCTCAAATGTTTTTTTCCCCTCTTGCACAACTTACCTGGCATTTTTCACTTGATGAGTCACTTGATGGAGTCTATTATTTAATATTTCCTCTGATTATACAAGAGTTAATTTAAGAATTTATTTTAATATTAAACATAAGATTTCAATCTATTTTTTCCCTTCAGTTCATATTTTTTTAAACCATCCATATTAATTATATTATATTAAATGGGGTTTCCATGAATGGGGTAATGAATAAGAGTATTAAAAAAATAAACATACGTATATTATAAATAATTAACTTAATTAATTTATATAATATTTATAAATTAGTTATCAACTTTATATGTCTGTGCATATATATGCGCACATGAAACAGGAGGGCATGTAACATTTTTCCTAGAATTATGTTTTCTTAATCTCCATCTTATCTCTAGCTACTATCAATAATTAATTATTTGTTAGGGAAGTTATATATCTCTAGCTACATTTTTTTTTTACCAAAACTATGAAATATTATTAAATTAAAGCAAGGATCATATACGTGTGCCAGCGCGGAACCTCTCCATTGCATATCATCTCCATTGCGCCTCCATTTAATTGAAATGGCGTCGTTTGCGTTTTTTTTTTTTTGAGAAAAATGGCAGCTTTCTTTTCCAATCCCGTTCGGCATCCATCCCAAATTTGTTTCGACCTCTCTTTTTTTTTTGCAGCTGAGCAAAAAATTCTGGGTTTTGTCTCCAAAAAATTTCACAAGTCATATGTGAAAAGAAATCATCGAAGAAGTTGCTCACTGGTTCACCACTTGTGTTTGTTGGTTGCCTCTTTGTTCGTTTTATAGTTTGCATGCAATCTTTTGAGTTTTTTTGCAGGTTGTTTCTTATGATCGTTTAACCAGGAAAAAGAAAGAATCATTTCATTTTATATTTATACTTTTGCTGGCCTCTTACATGTTTCATCACCTTTGTCCTGGGTGATTTTTGGTTGATCACCGGATATCAATTTGCCAAATCTGGGATGCACGCAAAACAGGACTGGGAAAGAAAGCTGCCAATTCTTCTTTCAAAATAAGCAAACGATACTGTTTCAATTAAATGGAGGCGTAATAGAGAGGGTATACAATGCAGAGGTTCCTCGCCGATACATGTGCATGCAATATGAAATGAGTTATCGTAGTGTATAATATTAATGATGGCTTATGAAACTTTCTATATTATAATCCTCACACCGCTAATTTTATTGTATGTTTCACATTGTACAATTGTATATTAGACTTTATACATAACATGGAGAATATTCTTCAATATTTGCATTGACCTTTGGTCCATAAAGGAATTAAGAATTGACAGGGAAGGGGGTTTGGATATTCACACATGTTTTAAATGTTAAATTGGTGCACTTTGACCTGGCTTCAATAACAACAATGCAACTTTTTTTAGGGTTAATATAATTTTTAATTTCTTAAATTATCATAGATTTTGATCTGTCAAATTTCTTTTTGTCTAAGACGTTGGTCTCTAAAATTAACTAAAAATCTGGATCATTTTGTCTTATGAGAAAACAAAACTATTGGTTTAAAAGTTGACAGACGAGATATTGTATTTTTTTTTTTTTTTTGCATTGCCATTCACAATAATTGACAATATTGCATGTGTACCAGGGTTGAATAATATATGCATATAATAGATATTATACATAACCAAATAATAAAATTAAATTGATGTGTTAATTTTTTTTTGGTAATAGCGAACATATTATGGGCTTCCTTTTCTTTTCTTAATTGTGTTTAATTGTGCTAATTGGAAAAAAAAAAAAAGCTCATTTGGTTGCATTTTTACACGGTGTATAATGTAAAGCCTGAAAAGAGAATCTTATAATCCTTTTTGCATCTAAAATTTGGGATGAAAAATGATTCCATCAAATTAATCTTTGGTTAAAGTGTGATTCTCTAATCTTCTCCTTTCTCATCCACCACTGTCCTTCATCAAATTAACCATCCTCATCAATTTGTTGTTAATATTACTATTTTTTGAATACAATGTTTAACTAATGACCAAAGGTTTTCATTAAGTTACTCCCTCCGTCCCTTATTATAAGCAACATAGGACTCTATTATGTAGATCAAAAAGTTAGTTACAGATAATAAATAAGTAAAAAATTAGAAGTTCTTTCTCCAAAATACCATTATTTATGGAGGGGAGAGTATAAGAAAGAGAATAAGAAAATTATTATAATAAAAAGAATTATGAAAGAGAGAGAATGTGTGATGAAGAGAGATGATCATTTGGAAAATAAGACAATAAATATATTAAATACTAAAATAAGTAATTAATAGGGACAAAATAGAAAATTTGCTACAAAAATTTAAGACAACTTGTAAGTCTTGGTTATATTTAGGGACAAAAAGGGGATGATAGTTGTTGCTTATAAAAAGGGATGGAGGGAGTATATAATACTCCTCCAGTCCTTAATATATAACTTATTTTTCATATTTATTAATTTTTTTAAATTATCTCTATAAATACTCCTCCAATTATAATCAAGTAGAAGAAGGAATGAGAATATTAAGGAAGATGATTATGATATTTCAGAAAAAGCATGTCATATTTCTTATAATTAACTAACCTACTTAATTTTTTTAATCTAATCAAATTAGTTAAACAAGTCTTATATTAAGAGCCGGAGGAGTATAATATTTGACTATAAATATGTTAAAGTTACTTTATAATTAGTTGTATAATATAACTTGATAACGATATAAACATGGTAACTTTAATTATTAGGATTGAATATTTTGGTTTTTTGCTAAAAAAAATATATATTTTGGATTCACATTGTCAATATTCCCTTGCTTTATTTCGTTGGAGGACACCATTGTTTCTTCCATTGACGACTCTCACTCTTTCTAGAAAAGCATACGTTAATTAGTTTCATTACAAAAACAAAAGAAATACAGAGAAAACCAAACATGTGTGTTTATCATCAATAAACATTATCATTGACCTTTGGCCCAGAGGGAAATTAAAAAAAATTATTGGCCTAAAGAGTGTTTACATATTTAAATTCTTCAAAATTCCAAATTGGTGTGCTCTTGCCTTCTGTCCCGGCCCCACTGTATAGTTGGGTTTCCACAGTCCCTTTTTCTTAATGTTTATTCGGGTTCATTGTCATTTAATTACTAGAGGGCACATAGGATAAAGAATATTGAGAAATAAAATAAAAGAAAAATATATATCATGTGTCTTAATTTATAAAATAAATTGAATCACAACAATAAACAATGATGGATTAATTTTGAACGGGGTGATGCTTTCCCTTTCCCATTCAGATAATTATTTTGGGATATGATTCATAAGATATAATAATACACAATCACGTGGGATGACTGATTATTAAGTCAAAAGTGAAGCTATTGTATTGTTTATCCCCGAAAAATAATTGATAAATTAAGGTATTTGATTCTATTTACCTAACACATTGCTAACTTCGTTGGAACAATTAACGTTAATGCCAGCTGCTTAACAACGTTAGTAATTATACATTATCACTTTAAGTAAAGCATGACATTTTAAAATTTTTAAGGTGTCTCACTAATTTTTAGGGTGAACCATTTGGTAGTGTTAAATATTGTCATCTATTATATATTCTATAAAAGTGAAAAATATAATGCTCAAAGCAAACATTCACCTAATTCAAGCAACGTAACTGATCATACATATGGTGCATATGATCTTTGAGAGCTTACAATTAATTATGTTCATCAACATGTCAACAGAGACACAAATGACTAACTAATTAATGAGTCTAATCATTCATTAGTTGTCCAATTGTGATGCTGACTAATGGTTCTTCCATATGAGACTTTGGCTGCCGTTCAAGCTCCTTAGATACTTGTTCCATTGTTGGACGAGAACGAGGATCCTCATTCAAACAAAAAAATGCTATTTTTGCAACTGTAATAACCTCATCAATGATTGATTTTCTAGGCGTTGAAAGTCGTGGATCCAACACATCCTTTAATAGCAAATCATATGTGGTTGATTTCTCCATCAAAGATGAAATAAGCTCTCCAGGATGCATTCCCATAACGATCTCCAAAGTCAACACTCCAAAGCTGTAAACATCACATTTCTTGTTCGCTTCCATAACATAAGCAATCTCTGCAATAGTTTTAATGTCACAACCTTAATACAACAAAGAGTGTAAAGTACCTTAGGAGAAAAGCAAAAGAAGAAATTATCCTTACCTGGAGCAGCGTAACCGAAGGTGCCAACAAATGTGGTCATATTGTTTGAGTTAGGATTCAAAAACTTGGCTGTTCCAAAGTCAATGAGGTGAGCTTCTTCATATTCTGAAGTTAGAAGTACATTCTTGCTCGATATGTCACGATGAACAATAGGAAATGAACAGCCATGATGCATATGGAATAAAGCAGCAGCGACACCTTTAACGGCATTCACTCTCTTTTTCCAATCAAGCTTAGTGGCTTGTGCTTCATCCTTTAGTATGTTGTCCAAGCTGCCACCTTCCAAGAACTCATAAACCAGAAAGGAGAATCGTGAGTTAGAACAAAACCCATACAACTTCACAATGTTGCGATGTTTGATTTCTGTCAGAGCTCGAATCTCACTTGTGAAAGCTTTCTTGTGAGAGATTTCCCCACTTGGTAAGGAATGAAGCTTTTTTACAGCAACAACATCACCTGTAGGCAACTCGGCCTTATAAACACTTCCTTGGCCACCTTTCCCAACTAGATATCTATCATCAAAGTTCATTGTGGCTTCGATGATATTTTCATACAATATTTCTCTGTTGGAACTCCATACAAAATAAATGTCCTGTGATTGTGCTTCTTCATCTTTGGTTTTTGCTTTTCTTGCATGTAGGAGAAAGATAAAAGAAGCTCCAACCACTACTAGTAGTAGTATTGCTAATGGGAGGAATATCTTCAAGAAGATTTTGCTCTTATGACTCATTTGAGAATTACTACAAGGATGTAAGCCAGTGACATTACCACACAAACCTTTATTATTCTTCAATCCTTCAAATGTTTGAAAGGCTGGTTTGTTTGGAACAAGGCCTTCTAATTGATTATTTGATAGGTCAATAATAGTCAAAGTTGACATTGATCCACTAAAACCAGAAGGAATAGCACCAGTGAGATCATTATGCGAGAGGTTCAATACTTGCAATTTAGGTAACATGCCAAGCGCTGATGGTATTGTTCCATTGAGCAAATTGTCACTAAGATCAAGTTGTTCAAGCTCTTGGAGTTGACCAAACTGAAGGGCAATACCTCCATCAAATTTGTTTCTACTCAAATTCAAGAACTTTAAGCTTTTTAATTCCCCAAGCTCTCTTGTGATTAAGCCATAGAAATTATTTGCTGCCAACTCTAATGTTTCAAGTTGAGTAAGCGATCTTATATTTGAGGGAACATTACCAGAGAAGTTATTGTGGCTCAACAATAGTTTTGTCAACATTATCAACTTGCCTAGTTCTTTTGGAATTTGTCCATACAAATGATTTGAAGACAAGTCAAGTTCACCAAGCTTAGCTGCCTCCCCTAGTTCTGGTGGTATATCACCGGAAAGCTTGTTATTGTTAACATACAATTGCTTGAGATTTTGACACTTTCCCCAACTGGATGAAAGGTGGCCATATAGTTGATTTCCACTTAGATCAATGAAGTCCAAATCAGGATATACTCCAAAAGCATCTGTTACATTATCAACTAGTTGATTACCCTGAAGCCTGAGTCTTCTTAAACTAGAACAATTCTTCAAACTAGTTGGAATGGGACCAATGAGCTGGTTATTTTGAGCAACAAATCTAATTAACATCCCACCCTGACAAATTTCTTGAGGCAGTTGGCCTTGGAAATGATTATTACCCACTTGTAAATTATACCAACTTATGTTGTTCATTTCTCGAGGAAGTTGACCACTGAGGTTGTTCTCAATCAATACTAGAGTGTCGAGCTTTGTCAAGTTTCCTATGGTGGAAGGAATAGGTCCTGAAAGATTGTTATATTCTAGATAGATTTCTGGTAAATTGATCAAGTTTCCAATGGATTGAGGAATTAAACCAGAAAGATTGTTATTTGACAAGACCAACTCCTCGAGACCTGTCAAGTTCCCCATAGAGGGAGGGATTGGCCCATAAAGTTTATTGCTTTCTAAATAAATTGTCTTGAGAGAATCGAGTTTTCCAATTTCATTTGGTATAGGACCAGAGAGATTGCAAAAATCGATATAAAGTTCTTGTAACATGTTCAAGTTTCCAATTGATGATGGGATTCTACCAGATAGCATGGAGTTTCTAGCCAAATCAAGTTGTAAAAGTCTACTCAACATTCCAATCTCTTCTGGAATGGAACCAGAAAGAGAATTTTGAGCAAGCACTAGATCCGTCAGGTTCCTCAAGTTCCCAATTTCACTGGGTATTCTATCCGTAAGCTTACATACACTAAGATCAAGAACACTGAGAGTGCTCAAAGCTCCTATTTCTTTAGGAATGGGACCAATAATTAAAGGATTCTCCGACAAATTGAACCTCAAAATACTGGATAGGTTACCAATCTCTTGGGGAACGTTTCCATAAAATTGGTTGTAACCCAGGTCAAAATACTGTAGACTAGGAAATGAAGCAAAGCTGAGACTGTGAAGTGTACCTTGTAGGCCAAGATTTGACAGACTTATATTGATCACAGACATGGATTCTTCATCACATGAAATTCCCTTCCAGTTTTTGCAAAGATTAGTGCCATTATTCCATGAAGACAACGTTGCTTGGCTTTGCTCAGTAAGGCTGGCTTTCCAATTCAACAGAGCTTTTGCTTCACCATCTTCAATGGCAGCGGAAACAGAAAATGTAAAGGAAGCAACAAGAAAGAAGAATATGGAGAAGATAATACACTGAAATGATAGAAACTTAGTGGAGTATTCATAACTTTCAGACATGGTGGTTGTTTGAAGTTAATAAGTTTCTGTGAATGATGGGTGCGTATATGTGAAGCTTGGGACGAACAAGTTGATGATCATACAGAGAACTTCTTATCCTATAAATGGATGGCCCTTGCAGGCAATAATTATATTTCTGAATATATTACCTTTATTTTATTATCGATTAGTCAAAATTATACATCATTGATATCAGAGAATATTAACTTGGAAATGCGTCAATATAATGGAGCTCGACAATGATGCTTAGATCTTTTTTTTTAAAAAAAATATCATAAGTAGTAGGTGTGTGATGGAGACTAGGATTATATATATATATATAGTCTTTTTTCCTCCTTTCAAGTGCTATAATTAAAAATTTAAAACGTTGGGACCACAATATTATTTAAGTGTCAGATAAAATATAGCGTATCATTTTTGTGCAATTTTAGATTTCAAACTTGTCCGTTAGCTCCTCAAGAGCGTGCGGAGAATAAGTATTTTTTTAGAAAAAGAAAGGGAAGAATGGGCATTCAAGAAAAACGATGATGATAATTTGTTGGATAATTTATCCCCCCCCCACCAAAAAAAAAAAGCATCATAATAATGTACGGCCAAAATAATCGGACCTTTCAAAATATTTATTTTTATACTAATTAAAAATTTTAAGTCTTAAACCCTATTATGTAAGAGAACAAAAATAAATGACAGTGTGATGGACGTCATGCATGTGTTGCCGGAAAGTAGGGACCATGGGGAGTGGCGTGTCTATATATATGAATATATATATATATATATATATATATAAAACTTTTGGACAGACCCATGGTCCCATGTTTACCTTGCTTTATATAAAATTTCTGATAGTAATCATGGTGGTGACTTTGAGAATTTTAAGGAACAATGGGATTTGTCCACTGTTGCTTGATGATTACACAAGGACATGGATGGGATATATAATTTATTAAAAAATTAAAGAAGTGGAATTAAAAGTTTAATTAAAGTCTTTTATGTTTTTATTTTACATTCTCTTTATTAAAATTTTAAAACCTCGTTTTTCTCATTTTTTAAATGGAAAAACCACATTGGAGGTACCTATACTTTCTCTCAATTTTTAATTTGGTACCTATGTGTTTTTTTCCCTTTAATTAAACATTTAATTTTATCTTTTTAGCAACATTAGCTCTTATAATTTTGTTCTATTGATATTTGTAGTCTTTACATAAGGATTAATGATGTTAATAGAGGAAAAATAAAGATTTAGTTAAGAACAAAAAACACATAGGTACCAAATTAAAAATTAAAAAAAAATATAGGTACCTCCAATATAGTTTTTCCTTTTTAAATCAAGCTCACAAAAAAAATTTCTCCTCTCCCCTCTCTTTCATTTTCCCCATATACCAAACATAAGGTAAAGATTAGTCATGTCCATTGAGAATCTCTATCACTTTTGGTTCTCGTGTTGCATGAAAAGGTGGTGAATTGGCTTTCCTGGTCTTCCAGTGGGGGATGAGCCTCCAGGATTGGCTTATAAAGCCACCATTCACACCCTTTATAATATTTTTTTTAATTTGTAATGATACGCTGTTGTTGTTGGTTTGAAGTTTGACCATACTGTGATCTCTCTAATTTTGAATATAAAAATTAGATAACTAATTTATGAATATTAAAAAATTAATTAAGTAATTATTCATAATAAATGTGTATTAATTTTTCTAAAATACTTATTTGATCATTATCCTATTTATGAAAAATATTTTTCATGTACAAAAGAAATCAATAGAAATAACTTGAAAAAACATTATAAATTTTATAGACAAAACGGACTACGGTCTTCTATTTAAGATCAAAGCATACATCCCAACTTAGATTTTGTATTTGGGACTAGTGGGAGCAATTATCTTTCGATATGACATCCTCTTTTTGTAACTTCAAAAATGAAACAAAAGAAAATAAAATAAAATTGTATTTTCTGTATCAAATCATGACAAGTAAAAGGAAGCCCATGTTTTCTTTGGTATGAAAAGGAAGAAACGGAGAATGATTAGCGGAGCTCGTTAGGCATGACCGAATGCAAAAGTAAGAAGAAAGCAGAAAATGAGAAAAGGCGTAACTACCCCTATGGCATTAATCGATAAATTTGGAAGAGTCACAGGGGTATTCTTGTCTTAAAAAATTGCTTCCTATGGTAATCTTCCGTATTCTTGAGTGAAAAGGTTTCATGTCACGTTTATGGAAGACTTGGTGTGACCCCCGTTCTTTTTAAATCGATTTAAACATGGCATTTGTTCAAAAGAAAACCTAATTTAATGATAAAACTAAAAGAGAGAGAGAGAGAGAGAGAGAGAGAGAGAGAGAGAGAGAGAGATCCCATTCTAAAATAGTAAACAGCATGCATGGATTTAAATTTTTTTGCTACAAAAAAACGATGGTAATTTTCTTCCATTTTTTAATTTTTGTTCATATTAATAGTACAATGACCTGTAGAAAAAGGATTATATTTATCATTAGGACATGTGCTTGGCCCTGGCTGATACTGAGAAGGAAAGCAGAGAACAAAATAAGGCGGTACGCTTTACAGCTCACCGGCAATTGAGTACGGGTATGTTTGTATTCACGTGATGATACCAAAATGTACGATTCAAATGGCAAACAATGATTAATAAATTAATTTCTTTATTTTTAATATTTTTTTTTTACCATTGTCACGTTATATAAGTTTAATATTAAATGTACATAACCTCCAATTTTTAATATAAGAGCTAGTTAATTAATTTATGAAGACTAAAAAATTTAGTTAAATCAGCTATTTATAATAAATAGTTGTTCTTTTATATTTGTAATCAAATTTAATATCAAACTAACTCTTATATTAAGGACTGGAAGTAGTGTTACTTAATCAAATTATATCCTTTTTGTTCATTTTATATATAAACTAATTTTTTCATTAATCATCTAAACAAGTTTTAGTTTCTCAAACTGATTTTTTTACAAAATCCAATTCAAATATAAATCACATTATATTATTTGATTTTTATCTAATATGAATTTTGTAAAATTCAAATTGGATGAAAGTTACTACTCCAGCTGCCAATCCAAACACACTTTATATAAGTTTTCATTGAAGTTTCACCCACCGATCTCAATATGCTTGTTTTCAATTTTTTTTTTACAGCAATTATCTAAATAGATTTTTTTTTGTTTTCAAAACTTGTTTTAAAAAATGATTTTATAAATATTTTTGAAAAAATAAAAAAACAGAAACAAACAGGGCTTATGAAATTCTTTAATGCCATGTATCAGATTAAAACTTAACTTGGATTTATCGGTCATACCAAAAGTTTTGAATAAGTAAATTGTATTTTACATTTTTTTCCCCCTCGTATTGAGCCTAAGGTGATGGTATTTTGAGTTCAAAAGAAACAAATAAAAAAATAATGGTCCTTTGGATTTATACTTTAATTAAAAAAATTTTGCTAAATTATATGTGATTTATATATGAATTTTTGTTTATTTATGATTATACTTTTTTCTTTAAAGTTTGCTCTTTTAAAGATTATGGGTAAATTTTTTCTATATTTTAATTATGATTTGATTTCTCAATTACCAATTGACCTTTCAATTACTAGTTCAATTGGGTTAATCACCAATCTAGTTTTCACTTTTCATCACCCTTTCTCATATGTATATAATGTATTAGTTAGACGGTATTTTTTTAGATTATAATAATTCCATTGGTAATGAGGAATTAATTATAGGTTATCTTAATTGAATTGGCTGGCACAAGTTGGGGAAAAAATAATATAAATAATGAAAACATGCCTTTTCTAGTGGGAATGCTTTAGCAGCAATGATTAATTACTCAAAACCCCCTTTTTTCATTAATACATAAAAGAATATGATTTTCAATAAAATAATATTGGTTACGTATATTTGTTTAGGAAAATGCTAATGTTATTTTTCCTTTGAAAATCTAATCTAGATTACATTGTCTACACAGTCATTTATAAAGGGAAAATTGCATTCAATTTCTATAATTAAAAAAAAATAAAGATTCAGCTCTTATCTTCCATGACAAGATCACTACGCACATTCCAACCCCCCTTTTCTAATTTCTTTTTGCAGTTAATTTACGTCAACACAACAAAGATTTAAATTTGACTCTTATAATAAATATTTTGAAAAAGCCTACCCTTATTTTATGAATATTGCACACTCACATGGTCTAATACTTAAATTAGTGAGATTAATATAATTTACAAAAAAAATTCATTGCTCTGGACCAATATGGAAAATTGGTTGGCATAACCAAAAAAATAATCAATCTTAACGAAATATAAAATCTAATAAAAATAATCATAAGATTCTCTCGAGTTGTAATATAATAGATTATGATTCCCTCGTGAAAGAAGCAGATTTTCGCGAAACCAAAATAAATGATGCATAGGTCACGTGTATAGGTCTCATTTCTTTTAAGAATTATCTAATATCTAATGCATATTTTATAGGTATTTTTATTTCATAAGGCGAATTTTTAATCCTATTTAACGGATAATGAATATATTTAACCAAAGTACGAGCATTTTGGGAACCAGTTTCGATATTTGTAGCATTTTGTAATGGTTTGGATTTAAATTTTTTAACTAATAATTTTTAAATAAAAAATTACATTTATTTTAGATTATCTATCTATTAAAAGAAAATTTTTTAAAAAATATACAAAAGATAAATCTCAGCCATCCATATTAAATTTAAACTGTTGAGATTCAATTAGTATCATGGTACTCATCAATTTGATGAGCATCGAAATTGATACTTTTTTATTATGAAAATTTATCAGGTCCTACTCAACATTATCACCAATAAAATTTTTAACAAGAAAATTTTCCCAATTTTCCCATTTCTAAGAAAGCATTTTACTTAAATTTTCAAATAAAATAGTATACACAAATCTAAAAGAAGATAAGCCCAATAACCCTGTTTTCTACCATTGCATGAGGAACGCATTTGAATTATTATGA